AAGGACGCCCCTAAAACTGACACTTTGGAACCGTTATGATCCCAACAAGATTTGGGACACGAGCATCTTGCTAAGGAAACATAAAAAAAAAGGGAAAGCAAAATAGAAGACAGATGCTCCTTCGCTTCCAGGGGGAAAAAGAAAGAAAGATGTTCCCTAGATTCAGGTTGATTATATAGTGATGGCTGTTACGCAGGACGTATTGCCTTCGTCTTTTCAGTTCTTGCACTGCTAAGATTTCATCACCTGACCAGATTTTAGGAAGTCACCCGGGTTTTTTTTTTTTGTTTTTTTAAATGGACGATGCTCCAATCTATTCGTGGGGAGCAACATGGCTGCAAACCGGGCCCAGCGTTCCCTCCTTACACTTTTCGGCTTAGTATATTATTAGTAATTCCTTACGTTTCCATTTCGAATCACAACATGGCTGAGACCCAGCCCATGTAGCTGAATGGCATGCTACTATGCCTTTCCAACTGTCAATAAACAGACCTGACTTCAAATCCTGATGCACTGAGATGATTGAAATTACAACTGTGAACTACATGGGGCTCAGCAGCTACTGATGATATCTCAAGACTGTCACCCTTACAAACAACAACAACAACAACAACAACGACGGCGACGACGACGACGACGACGACGACAACAACAATGACGACGATGTCCACGGCTGTGAGGCCACACTTCTGCCATCCTGGTTCAACACTTCTGGTTCCTTTTCCATCAGCAAAGGATGAAAATGCATGAAACACTTGCATTTCTGCCTAGGATTATGGTCAGAACGTAGCGCCTGAGGGATTGGTCCCACCTCTCAGTTGCTCCTCATAATCCTCCTTCCCAAAACGCAGATTCATGACATGGGGATAGGCATATCGCTGTAACCTGAGGGACTTGTCCAACCCCTCTAACTGATGCAAGGGGGAGAGCTTCCAGATTCTGCCACTTTCTCATGCAGCGATCCACTCATCGTCCTCAAGGGAAGATGATGATCTAATATATACTCATCCTTCTCACAGAGAGAGACTCAGCATTGTCTGCAGTCTAACCTGTCTCTCTGAGTTGGGGGCTTAACTTTTTTTATGTCGTACGTTCCATCGAAGCGGTCATGTTGTCTGCTCGATTGACTCCTTCGCGATGTCATAATTCGTTCCTGCTGTTTATTCCACATCAAGGACGTGGGCGACCCCCTTACGTTCATGCCCCATGACAATATGCTCCCAATGAAGAAAGAACCATATCACGACCGCCACTGTCCTTCAATTGGCTCCTTCCTTCCTGTCACTGACACGGTTTTCGACAAGCCACGCACTACCTGTGGCTCCTTTGACTGTAGTGTCAGTGTGCTGTCGGTCGACGCCTGCAAGTTTCTATTCCGTTCTAGTGTTGGTTCTACTAATGTCATTTCCAAAGCCCATGTGCCATAATTGCCATGGGAATGATGGGATTTAATTGCTGCGCTTAATCGCAGACGTTACCTCAACCAATCTCCTCAAACGGGCCAAACAACAGTGGAACCTTGCGGAGCCGGCAGTTACTACCTCCAGGTTAACACCAGTTAACACCAGGTTCAAAACCTGGAGATACCCACCTCCCCTCTCACATGTCTCCAGACTGTCCGCTGTGACCATGTGGGCGTCACCGGTGTTCACCTGAGGGACCATGGGGTTGTGCCACATGATTTGATTCATGTTCCATCTGCTTGCTATATCGTCACCTTCTTGCCCCATCTATCGAAATCCTCAATTATAACCTTGTGGCTTCTACTGGTGTCTGGTCAAGGAGCATGGGGAATTGCTCTGCAATTCTATTGAGCATAACCCATGAGCTGATATACAATTCGATTCAAGTTCCAGCAGCTGATATATCATGCTCCCATCTTCTTGCTTCCTTCCTTCTGGTGGTACATCTCTAGCATGTAGCGTCTCGCATGTAAACATCATGCTCTCATCTTCTTGCTTCCTTCCTTCTGGTACATGTCTAGCATGTAACTGCTGGGGAGCTACTACCGTTCCAATGGATCCTGCCTGGTAAATCCTATGGGCAGTCACTCCTACTGTACGGATGGATCCTGCCTGCTAAGGCCGCCTATGGGCAGTCACTCCAATGTTCCGTGTTGTCGGCCCTGTGCTTTCAACTTAGGTCACTCTTTTTACCATAGCCATTCACTGATAGTTACTGCTATTTTTGTCAATGTTGGTGCTAGTTTGTCCTCTCTGTGCAAAATTCTTGGTTACCATGAAGACTTCCAGACGCCGCAGACGGGCATCCGGACAGTTCAGATCCGGATGTCTAGTTCCTGTGTCTAGGTCCTGTGTAGATCGGATGGGCCTCCATGGAGCGAAACTCCAAAAACAAAGGCAGCGGTCTGGGACTTCCAATTGGGTCCGTGGACGGACCCCCTTCCCTTGCTTGAACTGCTCTCATAAACTTAGGGGCCTGGTTTCTGGATCCATACCAGGCCAGACTTGCTCCCTACATATTCCTTATTCATCTCTATGCACGAGTCTGGCACCGCTATGGGGTTCGCCACGTTGTTTTTTTTCTGTTCACTCCGTGTTTCTTCCTTTGTTGGGCTTATGCTCTTTCCTGTGTGATCTACAGCCTGCTTCCCTGCCAAAACATTGAACGAGCTACATACATGGACGAGTCGACGACCCTATACCCAACACTATGCTAAGGACGCTCTTGTCTCCTTTGAGCCACTTTTAGTGGTCACGAGCGTCCTGACGATGTTCTCAATGGGTCCTCCACTGGAGGAAAAGGGTGTGTGCTATGTAGAG